CCCCAAAACCCCAAAACCCCAAAACCCCGCTAGCATAAAAATCAAGTAATTAAAAGTATTGATGAAATAAAAATAAGTTCGAGAAAATTAGTCAACGTTAAATCAATTATGCAATATTTCTTGTAAGTTATCTTTGATACCTTCTGGTTCGAACACTAAAGAAAGGCATTTTATCTCTTATTTTTCCCTGAGAATGTACTTGATATAGTCTTTTCTCTTAAATGCAAAGTATTGCTTGTAAAGATTATGCTTATCTTTGAGATCTTAAATGTTTTCAATTAGGTTATCTGCATATTAAAAAAATCCATTAACCATACTGGGTAAGTTCTAAATTTTAATAACCTCATCAATAGAAACATCCAAACTCTAGTTTAGGAAGTCTTTCACTTCTTACAATAGCTGCTCAAATTTCCTGATTTGCTTTAGACAGGAAAATAATGCCCCTCTTGATTAGATTGATAATTTAATACGAATAAGTAGACTAATGATATCATCAATAGAGATACTCTGCTTGAATATCATTATTTCATACTACTCTTGTATTTTTTCATATTTGTTTTACAGATTCATTGGTTTGAAAATTTCTTCTAGAGTTTTTAGCGATTTATTAACAATTGGCTTGAGCACATCAAAATTATCGTAAAGATTTTATCTCTCTTAAATATTCACAATCAATTTCTCTACTTCCTCAAATGTAAAATAAAGAAGATTTTTCTCTCTAAAAAATAAATACTTATGGTAATTTAACTTACTGATTGAAGATATCACGAATAAGATTTTTGGTGTCCCTATAGATTTATGTTTCTGCCCAATCATTGCTTTAAATATTTTTTCCTAATGCATATGATTCCATTTTACTAGAATTGCTGGACTTTCTTGGAATAAATTAATTGGCAATTTTCTTCTGAAAGTTGCTATATTCTCCTTTTTCCTTATTAAAATAGTACTCCTCTTCTGTTTTAGAATTAATTGGGTCTAGTGCAAAATAAGGAACATAGCTTTTATTTGACTTGAACTACTCTAAAGTTTAATTGAAGAGTTAGTTTCTTTTAGGAGAAGTCTATATTATGAAATTCATAGGACTCTACTTAACATTAAAGCTTTAATTAGCTTGGCCCATATCTTTTAGTTCTCCTTTAACTAAATGTAATAAGTTTTGAATAGGTCTTCCCCTGACACTTCTGTTAAGTAAGTAGCTTGTAATGTTATTCTCTGGATTTAGTTGAGGGTTAATCATATTGTTCTTTTTCTTTATGATACGAGGCTGAGGACCTTATGATTTTTATTTTTTACTATTAACGCCCTGGTTATTATTGTTATTAAATCTATTGTTTACTGGCTAATTATTTATTATCAAGCCAGATTAACGAAAGGATGGCTGGTTAATCCTTTCACTCGTAAATGTCTTATTGTTTCCTCTATCTTACAAAGGACTTGAATTTAACCCTCTACTCATATCATGCCTTGAAAAATTATTGCCAGAGTTATCTTTCGTCATTATAGCCTTTTCGTAAATAACTTCTGACTACTCATTTGAGTTCGAATTGTATTATAGTATATTTAGAAATTTCCTTCTTTACTGATTTGCAGTTGTCAAATTAGATTTTTGTCTTCCATTTCTTGAAAGATTATAGAATGAATTTTGCAAGTTTTGCTAATTTTAGTTCGTTGACAAGTTCAGTGGTGTCTAATTTCTCATGCTTTTTTACTTAAAGTCTGTCATTTATTGCTATCTTAGCTAATTATTTTGAGACATTGAGGATTCTGCCAAGACTATTGTATTGCTTTATGGATAATAATAACTTACTGATGGGAAAAGACACTTATTATGAGTTTCTTTTATCAATACTTGAGTACTAAGTCTAGTTTTAATGAACTTAGTTTTCTTCATGATGAAAATTTTAATTTTTCTTCTTAAGATTCTACTAAATTTAGTCATTAATAGTTTCTATTGGACTTCCTATGATATCTCTCTTTGAAATTCCCCTGAAAAATAAATGATATCTTATGCTTACGAGTATTTTAGGTCATATTTACCATAAAGTTCAATTGCTTTTTTAAATGTAGAATTTACAGTTTCGTCATTCATGATGCTCATTGCATCATTCCTCTCAATAGAATTACTTCTTGAATTTTGCAAGAAATTAGAGTAGAACTATTTCCTATCCTGATTAGCCTATTCCAAGGCTTTCTTACGGATCAATTAGCTCCCAATAGATTTTATAGGGCTTTTCTTCTGATCATAGTAATGTAAGATATTACTTTTGTATCTGCTCTCTGAAGCATATCTAGATTATGAATTTTAGCTTTTGATTTGCTTTGGCATTATTGACTCTTCAATTGCATCATCATTAGTTTGATTCATTTTTTTAGTGGACGACACCTATTGCCTATTGTTGGTTTTCAGTTTTTTCTTATTGATGTATTAAAACTTTAATTTTTTTACCTGCAGCTTATTATCTTCATTATTTAAATATCCTCTGATCTTGCTACCACTATCTTCTCCTTGTTTATTTTAATTCTATTATTCTGTATTCAAATTAATTTGTTTGAATTTTTTTTCACTATCCCTATTTTTGGGTGTTATTGACGATCCCTACCCTCCTTAAATAATTACCCTGTTGCTATCTATTGAATTCTTGTTTTGCTAATGCAATACTTATTAGTTCTAGTTCTCGGAGTGTTCTATGTGTGATAAATCTGCTTTAGTAGTAATTTCATTGTCCATATTTTGATAATGTGCTTGATACTCATCCAGAGATTTTATTTGATTCATTACAATTATTGATTAGTTATTATGAGAATCAGACACTTATTCAGACTGCTACTTGATTAGAATAGATCCTTCAAACTTAGCTTCATTTATTGTCTTGACAGCTTCATTTATTTCATCTTTATTCTAAGATACTGTTTCTCTCTGTTAAGATTCAGAATCATATCTATCATCTTCACTTTCTTGCTAATTTTTCAAATGCTAGAGTATTTACTTTATATTTATTCACTACTCCTTATGAATTTCTTCAACTTCAGTTCTGTTTTTGTTTGCATCTTGATTTTAAACTTCAATTAACTTATTTTCTTTTCTTTATCCTTTATTAGAGTCTTAGCTTTCTTGTTCAAATTCCTAATTATGATATTCTTTCCCCTCATTATCTTCTTAAAGATTGGTCTCTGTTCCAAATCTTGAGTGATTATTCTTAGAAGTATTGATTTTAGATAGTTCTCTTGAATCTAAAACAGATATAATTTAGCTCTTTTTAGGTTTATTTTAATCCTATTAAGAGTAAAGATTCTTAGAATTTAAGTTTAACATGTCATTTGAATCAGAACCAATATTTACAATATGAGAAGAATCTTTGATCCCTCTGCTATCCATTTGATAATGTGTTTTGTGCTTATTAAACATAGACTATTAATTTTGGTTTGATGAGAGCTAGTAGCTTGAATTTTGATTGATAACTAATTTTTGCAAGTGAGTTAAATTCTCCAATTAAAAACCTAGAGATGATTAAAACGATTTCTTTTTTCTAAACTCTTCATCATCTTAGGAGTCATTGAAATTTTTAATATTTTGGCTGTCGTTCTTTTATAGATCATTAATTTAGTTTTCAAATTTCCTTTGATCAATTCCATATTCATCATTATCGTCATTATCTTCGTCATTTCTTCCTCCGAAAGTAGTGTTGTTGTAATGCTGATTCTATTTTGCCTGATTAGGAGTTTAAATTTTGCTATTCATCCGTCTATCATACTTACTGTTTAACTCTGTCTTTGAGAAGTCATCACCATCTATGAAGTTATTGCCATCTAAATACTACTCCTACTCTATTATTCTTTGATCCCCTAGAGCTAATTAAGTTTGAGATGTTTCTATTTGATTTTAGAGATTCGACATATTAGAGAGTTCCTCGTCATTATATCTCATCATTTAAGTTTTATTCTTAGATCCATAATCTGTCGATCTCATCTCTCTTTTTTTCTTATCATTTGCATGCTTTGGTTAGGCCGGAGAAGTAACTCCACTTTACTAATGATGGTGCTTCATGTACTAAGTCGACTTTACTTCTAATTTGTCCTTGCTATAATATGCAATTTAAGTCAAGTTGCCATTTGTAACTGATTCATCAGACCTAATTGTCTCCTCCTTAATCTTCAGCTTATTTTATTTTTCCATTTTTAACTCTTAATCAATCAGAATCTATATTTATTATTTTTATTACAATTTTACCAGAAATAATTTCTTATTTTAGTACTCCGGGGTTTTGGGGTTTTGGGGTTTTGGGG